ACCTGGCGCCGCGCAGGCTCCCCGCTAGCGCCCGGTGCCCCTCGCGCGGCGAGCGGAGCTCTGCAAAAAGAGACTCTCCGACCTCCAGCCCCCTCCTGCTAGCTCTGAGGTCGCCTCGGTGCCGCGGCAGCTCCCTGCAAAGCGCAGTTGTTTTCCGGTGAAGCCTGAGGGCAGACTATCCTATGTCCTTCATTCCGTGCAGAAGCAGAGGCCCTCCAGCTCCAGGAGTCACAAAGGAAGCCTTGAAGTTAGGAAGGTGATACAAAGGGAGCTGGAATGCAGGAAATTCAACTTTCAGAGGTTTCCCCGAAGCAGTTTTGGACTGCTACTCATTGCTTCCTTAAGAGAAGGTATTGTCAGGCATGTCAGTAACTGAACACACACCTTGTGCCTATGTGGCATCAGAGAGATTTTGCAGGAGTCATGGAAAAGGAATGAGTAATTAGATATGGAAAAAAAAAACCATCGAGAAGAAACAAAGGTCTGCAAAAGCAGATCATTTTAAAAATTAGCCTATTTAAGACACATGGAACAACTGCATTTCAGGACATGAGTAAAAAGGTATTGACTGCTCCCTGAAAAGGGACCTTCTCCAAAAATAATTTAACCATGTCCAACATTTCAAATTTAGAAATTGACTTGTATGTCATTATTGTCTTAAAATTGTGAACCTAAACCCTTAGCATAGATAACATTTGGTGGTGGAAATTTCACATAGATGTTATTGTGATTAGAGTGATCATTAACAGTGATTTTGCCCATCTGTAAATAACAGCTTTTCTGCAGTTCTCTTCAGAGTGAAGTCTAGCGATTTTACTAGGATTGTATGTAGCCAAAGAGTTAAAAATCTCCCCAAGTCCCTTTGTTACTGCAAGTTACAGAAGTCTTAGTATCAGCAAAGGAGAATAAATAACGCACCAAAGGTCAACCATATCCACCACATGAATGAGCAAGGATTATTTCTGCTTCAATGTAGATGGTGACTTAAAGGTCAGGCACCTCTGAAACACTCTTAATAGAGCAGGGCTCAGTTACATAGCAACAAGATAGTATTAGTCAACATGAGAGATGATCAGAGTTGGGGTGATCATAACATATGGCTAGGTAAGTAACAACAAAAAAAAAAGAACTGGAGCTGAAAAGCAGGGGAACTAATTAGTGGATTGGAAAAGATTTTAACTGGAGAGTAAAGGGAAGATTGATCTGACAAGCAGCCTTTTGACATCTCTTGAGGTCCCCGACTTTCTCAAAGAGAAGGGCCTGTGTGTGTGTATGCGCACACATGCAAGTCTCCAGTAATTAGAATGGGACATCATACAAGGATTCTTTCTGATATTTTAATGCAACAGGAAGAGACCACATTTGGACTTGGGTTGCCAGAAGTTTATTCTATGACAATCATGAATAAGCTCCAGAATGATGAGGGCAACCATGGACAAAATAGCTTGGAAGCAGCTGGTTCAATTCTCCAGATGAAAACACTTAGTGGGGTTAGTCTCTAAGGCTCAAGAACTGTGCTTTAGGGCTTAGTGATGGCACGTGTCACTGACTAAAGTATATTCCTACAGAACTACCCAGGATCATGGGACCATTGCTCATTTAAGAAAAACTGCATTCATAAGTATGAAACAACCTCTAAAGTCACTGGGTAAGCAGAACATGTATTAATGAAATGTCTATGACACTAGCACTTATTTCTCACTTCCTTTCTGCTGCGGAAGAGAAAAAGCTAGATGAAACTGTTAAGGATTATAAAGAACATACATAGATATGAATCAGTTTTAAACTAGAGCTAGACTTGAAGCAAGAAGTACATGTTTGCATTTAGATCCAAACTTCTCTGAAAGCACAAGAGATTTTGGATCTTCTTATCCAAAAGCTACCACAGTTGCAAAACTTAACCCGCAAGCATAGTGTTCAGAAATGCAGTAATGGAGGAAGAAAACTTCATCTCATCGGAAAGTTAGATACATCTTGAAGATTACATTTTCTGTATTATCCTTGCAATATGGGCTCCATTCCTATTAGTCTTAGAACACTGAAACAGAAACATCAAAATTTCTGTTTAGCATCTCCTGGCAATTTCAATATGGAATGTACTATGATTGTTGCTAACCTGCTTTGGAAGGTTTGTTTTTGTTATTGAACAGTTTTTTGTTGGTTTTTAAGAGATAACATGCATGAAGACTAGAGCTGCTGTGCTGACCTTCTGGTAGTTGTGAACTCAACATTAAACCATACAAGCAGAATATAATAGCTCTCTCAGTTGTCTTCACCTAATATTCTCAAGGAGTTGCATACAGGCTCACTGTTTTTACTGCAGCTTGGTGTATCTAAATTATCAGACAAAATAGTTTCCAGTAGTCAGTCATCTCAGCCAATTTTCTGTTTCCTGTATTGGAGAAAGAGATGAAGAATCTACTTTAAAACATATCCATTGTACATGAGAATTGTTTAGGTAGGAGCATGCAAATAGAATTCCTAAATTTTCATTCACCTGACAGTTTACATCTTTGATCAGCTTGTTGCAATATTGCATTATGAAGATTCTAAAGAGGCATGGTATCTATTAAAAATATAGCAAAAGTAACTATTCTAATCTAAATAAAATGCATTTTTAGTTATTTCAGTTTTAGAAGTCAGATCTATTGTTGACTCCCTGGCTTGCTTGCTCAATAGCCAGGCCCATAAGCACAAGGAGTTAGGCAAGTAAGAAGTCCCAATGATGAAACAGCATACAAGTGTAGGGTACAAGGGTTAAGGCCCTGACTTTTCCACTTCAGTCAACTTAGTCAGAGAGAGCTCTGTCAGATTCTTGTAAGGGAAAACTAGTTACTCTACTCTTCTACAAATTAGCGAGCTTCATTTAAATGCTAAATCAGGCAGCAAATATATCAGAGGATTGGTTCTTTCATTCCAAAAAGGATCCCACTGTTTTCTGGTGAAATGTGATAATTCTCAGTTGAATGACAGTAGAACACCCGAGGCCTACATTTTGCAAAAAAAGAATAATTGTGCCTTTGCTTTTAAATTTTACTTATGTTCCAGATGAAGACGCATACTCTGCACAGCAGTATTATGCTTTATAATGGATCTGTTTTCCCACATCGGACAATTTGGTTTTTTTCCCTTTATGTCTTGCCTCTCTCATTTGCTTGAGTGTTGCTTCACACAAGAGTCGGGCACATGGACCTACACAGGCCAAAAGAATGAAAATAATCCGCTGAGGCAGGAAATAAACAATCCCGGAAGGATCAGCCATTATGTCCCCAGAAAGTCAAATCTAATTATTAGTTTCCTGGCCCGAGATAAGACATCAGTCTTTTCTTCCATGAAATGGAAATCTGGAAGTTTGTTATTCTATAAGCGCCTTAAAGAACATCAGATCCCTTACATCAGCTGGTGTATTGCAAGCATAGTTTTTCTTATTTTCATTGCTCCAGAAATAACAGCCTATTCTTAGTTGCATGGTTCAACACTCACCCTGGAGAGAATGAATACACATTTTAGGCTTAAGCATGGAAGTCTGACCAGAACTTTATGCTCATTTCAAGTAAGTGAAATTACTCATATGTGGCTGCAAGATCAAGTCTTAAGAATGCAGTTAAAACTTGGTTACATCCTTTGTTTACCTTTAAGTGATTTAGTATAGACAATGAGCTAGACTGGTTGATAGCAGTTGCTCTTTATACTCAACTTAGCTTTCTGTTTCTCATGCACTAGCATAGCACTGTGTGCTGGACTTTCCAACTTCCTACAACTCAGCAGCTTCATCCAGAGCTCACCGAAGCTATTATGAGACTCGCAGATTCAGTGGGTTCAGAGTGGGCCTTAGATATTCAAATGTTGTTAAATAAGGGGATTTACATTATTTCATAACATTACTTTTCCATTTTTTTAAATTATTATTATTCCTCCATCTTTTTAATCGTAAAAAGAATCTTTGGCCTTGACTAGGTCTCACCTCCATAGAGACTTAAGGTATTAAAATTAATAGACTAACAGGCATCACACTGTGGTTTGCACTTGGTCAATTAGAGCTCACTCCAGCCCTGAAGCTAAGGTTCAAAAACTTGGAATAAGCAAGATGGAATGATTTGGGATACTCCATTTCTAGTTCTAATACCAGTTTAGAGATTCCATTGT